GGATTTTTACATTAACGAAAAAATAAATAAAAAATAAACGAGCATATCAGCGGGTACGATGTTTTAATACCCTATTTACTATACGTATTTATTCATGTGAATCCTCCTTCTGGAGAAGGGCCTGCCATGCTAGGGACAGGGTAATTTCATCCTTCGAGTTAATAGGTGCTGAAGTGTTGTATGCTTTGCAAATTTCCATTTGTTCCAACCACTTAAGGTGGTTCGTAAATAGTGTAGTAATCAGGAATTTGGCATTGTCGAAGTTTGCCGAAATCTCCGGGTCTGACGCATACAGGGATAACTAGCTGACTGCAGGAACAAGTCTGAGTCTACAAAAAAGTCTACATTGGTGCTACTAAACGGGCTATTGGTGTCCGGTGGACTGAACACCGACGGGACATCCTCCACAAAAGGGGTTCTACGTCGTTATCCCTGTATGCGTCAGACTCGGAGATTTCGGCAAACTTCGACAATGCCAAATTCCTCATTACTACACTATTTACGAACCACCTTAAGTGGTTGGAACAAATGGAAATTTGCAAAGCATACAACACTTCAGCACCTATTAACTCGAAGGATGAAATTACCCTGTCCCTAGCATGGCAGGCCCTTCTCCAGAAGGAGGATTCACATGAATAAATACGTATAGTAAATAGGGTATTAAAACATCATACCCGCTGATATGCTCGTTTATTTTTTATTTATTTTTTCATTAATGTAAAAATCCATAAAAACCTTTTTAAGAAAACCGATCATTACATTATGAATTTGTTTACGGAATACTGGAATGCACGTGATTCACATAGATTTTTTGAAGTTTGACTTTTGAAATGTGGTTCTGAAGAAGTAATTTTTCGAATGTCGCAGTTTAGAAGTTCGTTCTACTGGTCTTCGTTCTAACGAATTTTAAAGAAGAATTGTTGCTTGAGAAAGGACCCAGGGAGGGATCCGAAAACGTTTGCATGTAATATTACTCTCATTTAATACCGGTTAAAGGTTTGATGAGGGATTATTTTTGTATCATATTATACATAAAACTAATATATATAACATGACATTATCTGTTGAGAGTTGCATTAACTATTTCAAATTGAATTTTAATTTGTACTTTGGAACATTTTTCAAATTTAAATGTTTTGATTCCTGATAATGGCCTATGAATAGGCCAAAAAATGTTAGTTTTTGAGTTATTTAACAATTACTGATATGGAATTTTATGTTTTAGTGAAGTAAATTTAATTGTTTAAATTTTGTAGTGCATTTTGGTAAATATTTTTTGTTTGAAATGGACAATACATAGCATCTTCATATAGTATTGCAACTCATTGCTACTTATTAAAAATTAAACTTTGTTCTATAAATACAGTTCTGTAAATTTAAAGTTGTTATGCGATTATATTTTTGTCTTATTTTCAGTACGTTGACTGTGCGATAAATGTGCATGAATTTCCAAAATTTAAATACTATTTGATGAATACTGATCTGTTATGTTGATTTACACTTATGATGGTTGAGAAAGCCCAAAATCATTCGTAATAAAAAAGTAATTTTCTGTAAACAAACAATATTATATCAGGCTATTATTTTTTACTATATATAAAACTGTATTAGAAATTCTCTGTTAATTATAAATTGTTTAAATGTGTTATTTATCAATAGATTGTACAGTTATACCAGAAATGAATGGTAATGAATTTGGCATCTAGTGCAGTTTAGTCCTGGGATGTCCAACCCACAGCCCACTTAATATTTTTTTGCAGCCCATAGCCTACTGCACCCTATACATTTTTAAGATACATTTTCATCTATTTTGGTAAAGTATATCGTAAAAATTATTCTCATTTCACTGGATACACTTTGATGTCATAATGATGTAATTGGTTCTAGAAAACTATTTTATCTAGAAAAGTATTATGCATGTGCACTACTACATATTGTTGTGAACAATTGTTTTCGTGCATGAAAAACATTGAAACTGCTGAAAGAAATAAGTTGAGTGATTCACATTTAACTAACATTCTTAGAATTAAGACTAGAACCATAAAAGCAGATATTGACAATATTGTGTAAGGAACCAAGTCTGAGCTTTATTTTTATTTTACTTTTATTTTGCTTTCATTATATTTTGTTTGGGGCTTATGTTTAGTTAAGACGAGGGTTTCCTCACCATTCACCTTAGTAACTTAAAAATAGAAGAAAAACCAACTCACCGACGAAAGAAAAGCGCCGTAGAAAAACTCGCGCACACTTGCGCTTCCCAAGCGGAAAAAGTAAGTCCGCACCGAGAAAAAGGGGGGGGAAGACCCCACAACCCAGTTAGGAATCGCTAAACCTTAAAATAATAAAGCATCCCGATAATTGTTAAAAAGAATAATGTAAAAGGTTAGCGAAGTATTGTCGGAAAATAATCTGCCAGATAAACGAGAAAAATTTAATGTTACAGATAATTATGTAAATGAGGAGAGTGAGCTCATTCAGAATTGTGACGTCACCTCACACTATAAAGCCTCTAACTCAAGTGAAAACGAACGAGGTGAATTCCTGATAGCAACGAGCTTATAGCAGTGAACGAGAGAGAGGTGTCCGATAGGATTTTGAAGTTATTCGATTTGTGGATCGACGGTTATAGAAAGTCTTGAGAGTTTGAGGAAATAGGTTCCTAGTATATTGAGGTGACGATTAGGATCTTTAATTTATAAGAATTATTGTTTATAAGTTAATTCTTTGATTTTGTCGAATTCCAAAGGGGAATAGAATTAAGTTAGAAATAGATTGATTTGAGTTTGTCGGATTGATTCTTGTTGAGTTTCATTGAATAAATTATTGTTTGATTTTTACTAAATACTGTATAGAGTTTATTAATAGAAGTTTAATTAAATATTTGATTTTGTTATTGACAAACTTTGTCATTATTTAATTCGGTGCACGCTTAAAGTCCAGGCCTGGCACACTAACGCGAATCCGCGTAAAGTACCCGTTAGGGAACGGCTATTTTCCGGCACACAGTAGTGTCGATAATCGTTGGAAAGTCGGAAAAATAATATAGTACTTTACAATTGTAAAAGGAAGGCAATGTCAAAAATTGCATTGAATTTATTTTTATTTTGTGGGAGTATAATTTTTACACTTCTATGCATTTGGAGCTAGAACTATTTAAAATGACTAAGACAAAACCTTTCTCACTTGTTTCTAGCCGTTTACACACTGCATACAAACGAGTATAATTTTTTTTACTGACAACAATATATATAATTATAAAAATATTGTATTTGTTATTAAAATTTGATATTCACATTTTGAACTTTTTAAAAGCATATATTTATGTAAAGAACCTTTGTGGCCTGCTGAATATATGTAAATTTCTAATTTGGCCTACTAGGAAAAAAGGTTGGACAACCCTGGTTTAGCCCAATAACCCCCATTAAAAAAACCTAACTATGAATGTTATTAATACAGCACAAACAGTTGAAAATTATTATATTTTTATATCTCAGTAAACTGATTTTTATTTTTTAATTGATTAATTGATCCATAATTTTTTATGCCATTCAGATTACAGTAAGATCCCACTTAACACGGGAGATGCATTCCTAGACAACAAAGTGCTAAGTGAAACAGTGTTAAACGAGGTCATTTTAACATAGAGTAAATAGGGATAAGGGAACATGCAACCAAAAATAAACAAATTTTACTTTAAGTTATTTTTATATTAATTTGTATAATAATATATGTTAAATAACACATAAAGATATGCACACAGAAATGTAAAGTTCATTTTTTGTGATGAAGGTCCTGACTTTTCTGAAATTCTTGTTCTTTTGCAATAAAGTTGTGAAGTTTCATTTGTCGCTTTTTTCTTTCCTTAAGCAAATGTCAGTAGCAGAAGATTGCATCCAAAACATCTCATTTTGCTTTTGCACTCCTTTCAAAATCTGGATCATTCGCTACAATTTGATCAACGATTTCAGTTATAGTTACCAAACTTTTACTAAGGAAATCTGTAGAGAAATTTTCTGGGTTCTTTGTTTTCAGAATCTCTATTTTCCAGTTCCATGTGAATTCCTTGTTCTGCCAGTTTTTGAAGGTCGTCATTGGTAAGGCTCTCACCAGAAACCTGCTGTAACTCCTCAATATCCTGTTCGTCTATATCTCCTAGTCCTGCTATATCGATTGGGTTGAGTTTGGTCAATCTAACAATACAGCTATAGGCTCTTCTCGTTGAGAATTCTTGGATACCTTCATCCATAACTTCTTCCACACTTCATTCATGCATTTATCAGTTAATTCTTGCCAAGTGAAGTCAATATTTCCTAAGGCATCCATGATTATATGTTTTTCCAAAATTGCACCAAACAAACATAGGTTTAAAGAAAGTACACCTTTTTGAAACCTTTTGCTGATTGGTTTGTGTTCGCAAATAATTGTATTATATATGAATCAATGAAATGCCACGATAATTTAAATCAGCGTAAATTTTGAGTTTTTTTAGGTTTCGAGCAGACTATGTTATATCAAATCAGCGTTAAGCAGGGTCTTACTCTATAATAAAGAATCTGAACAAAGTAAATACTTTTTAAAAATGGCAACATTAGCTAAAAGGAGCATGATATAAAGCTTAGTATCATTTTTGTGAAGAAATGACAAATATAAAGGTAGACAACAAATGATGATACATTTTATGTTTGATAGATTTTTACCATACAGTATTTTCTCATGTTTGTTACATTTAAAAATGTTTCTAAATAAACTTATAAAATATATTTTTGTATTTTAATTATAGAACTTATTTAGTTAAAATAACCTGTTAATATAGAAGTTTTATAATATAGTTTATTCTTAAATTGTACAATTTATGTAAACTTATAAAAGACAAAAAATTTTCACTATTAATAACTAATGACAAAAAACTCCTATCTTTATACCATTAATTCTAATTAATGTAGTTTCATGAAATTTTAAAATACTGTTTAAAAATGATGATATTTTTCTGATATGTATAGCTTGCCAAAAAATATCATCCAGATACCAATAAAGATCCTCAAGCTGCAAAGAAATTTCAAGAAGTTTCAGAAGCTTATGAAGTATGTTTTAAATTTTGTATTTCAAGAATGACAAATTTAATTATAAGAAATACTAAAATATTGATTAAACTGTTACTTTCAAACTAGTAAATTGTAGTACCATCTATGATTTATTTTTTTGCTACATGTTTAGGATATAATTAAAACTTTATTAAGTAATGAAGTTTTACTATGGTATTTTTAATGAAATATATTCTATAGGTGTTAAGTGATGATGCAAGACGCAAACAATATGATCAGTGGGGAACCTCAACAGATTTTGGAGCAGGTGGACCAAATGCTGGTTTCCAAGGTTTTCAATCAACAATTGATCCTGAGGAACTTTTTAGAAAAATATTTGGTGATTTTGGTTTAAACATGGGTTTTCAAGATTTTGCAGAGTCCCAATTTGGTTTTGGGTCATCTAAAGAGGTTAATACAATTTTCTTATTTTTTAAATATTAATTAAGTCTTCATCTTGGAAAACATCAATTTAATTGATTTTATTAAATTACTTTGGATAAAAGTTATTTGCAAATTACAGAGATTTAATTGATTTGAGAAAGTGCATGTGTATTTATTGACAGTTATAAAATGTATTTTATATGTCAAGTAAAAAGTATTTTTTTGTAGCTTAAGTTACAATTTACTACATAAGCAATTTATATTCAAAGTTTGCTTTACCTGATGTTGATAAATCAGTTTTATTGTTCAATAATTAATATTTTTTTATCTTCTTCACTTTGATCTGATTTAAAAAATCTGGTTAAATTTAAAGTACAAATTTGTTTTGATCTTGGCTGAAAAATTTTATTACCAGCATCATTATTATAATATAATTCAATTCAGACTGCATATCTTAAACTAACTTCAATTATTATTTATAAATAAAACTGATTAAGACATCATATCAGTTTCAGAATGAGGTTTAAGGAAGAGGATATGAGTGAGGGAACTCTTGCTGATATGGCACGTTTAAAACTATCATGAACTGCCTGTCATTTATGGCACCTTCGAAATATCGAGGACTGTGGTCTATGTGGCAATGTTGGATTTCTACTGACTGCCGTCAATTACGTGTCAAGACTGTGGGTCTCTTATGGCTTTTAAAACATAAATAATGTCTTTTTTCAAAGACAATATTTATGTATGTTTTAAAAGAAATAGTATAATCTTCACAATGCTTATTTTCATTTTAGAAAATTATGAAGTAAAATATTTTATCTCCATGAGGTTTTAAAATCAATATATGAAAACTTAGTTTTCTGAAATAATATGTCTAACAGTTTATAAAATATAATGAAGAAAATTAACAAGTAAAAAATTATATTAATTTCAAAACTTTAATAATTTGTATTAAATTACAGTCAGTCTGTGGAAAGAATAAACTTGAGAGCAATATCATGTGTGATGTCACTTCAGTTAAACCAATCAGCACTTTTCACTTAATATGTCAGGCAATATGTGAATTTATTCTATTTTCTCTTACTAGATTGCAGAACGACTTTTCTGATAATTACATTAATATTTTATAGTATTCGTTAACTGAAAAAAAATCTTGTATTTAACTACTACTATAGTGAACTTCCTATTATTCTCATACCATAACATGAAACTTACATAATACTGTTTATAATGGCAGTGACATGTTTAACAAATGAGGAAGAAACCAGAAGTAACTAAGCAATCAATGGCTGATGCTTATTAGTTAATACTGAAGTTGATTCTTTTCATAGATGGACTATAGATATTTTTAAAAATTTTATCTTTGTCGAAACTTTACAAAAGATATTTATTTTTTGAAAGTTTTTTCACATTGTTTTATTTTAAACATGGGATTTAGAGAAAAATTATAGAATTAGAATTATCTTGATTTTTCTATTTATAAATATTATAAATTTGGAATATGAATCTGTAATAAGAAATATTTTGATATAAATCGTTTCAAATTTTTATGTTGAAAATGCAGTTGCCAAATATTTTGATTCTAAACCAAAAACTTTTTATGAAAGCAGAATTAAAAAGTTACTTTCAAGATGGCAAGATGTAGTGAAAAGTGATGGCGAGTACATTTTGGATTAAAATAAATCTTAATATTATGAATTTTGTTTTTTATTTTAACTATAAATGTGCATGAATTTCTGGACTGATTTGATATTGTGGGAAGTCAGGGTGAAGAAAAGCTTCATTTTTCACCCTTGTTTGATCTCAGATCGGATAGATTCGTCCGCAAGATCACTAGGATGGGTTTTTAATAGTATTTGATTTGAGAGACAGGTAGCTCGTAAGAATTTCCTGTCAGTTTTTCCTGACGCCAGCCTAATTAGAGCGTTAGGCATGCTAATGATTAAATTTATATGCTTTTCTGAGTAGGAGGGATCATGGATCCACAATAAGATTTTGCGTGGAGTTGAGATCAATAATGAGACCATTTAAAGAAACAAAACAAAATTTAATAAGGACAAAATAAAGTAAACCTACAGATATATACAAGGAGAGAGAAGTCTAAATCCCTATTTATTCACGTGAGAGAGAGAGAGTTTACAACAACTAGACATACTACCTTGATTGAAGGTCTTGATGTCGGTCTTCTTGTTGAACGAGGTATGCTATGTTCTTGGACGAGGTTCGAGGAAGAGGATATGAATGAGGGAACTCTTGCTGATATGACACATTTGAAACTATCATAAACTGTCTCTTATTTATGGCACCTTCGAAATATCAAAGACTGTGGTCTATGTGGCAATGTTGGATTTCTATTGACTGCTATCAATTACGTGGCAAGACTGAGTCTCTTATGTCACTTTCCAAATTTCTGTGGACTGTCTCAAATGGCGGGAAATTGTCCCTTTTATCATAATTTCTGACCAATAGCATTAAGGATTTTCGTTCATAATGGGATGTTAAAGGGGGTAGATATCCAGATGGTTAGTTCAGTTTGGAGATAAGGTCTTGGGAAAGGAAGTTAATTTCTCCTTTTAACACAAAAGTGACAGCTTTATCTTCCTTTTTTGTAAATAACATGGAAAAACTGGATTTATTTCTCATGCTAATTAAGTAATAAAATTCCGATTCTCACATCATAATTCAAAATTAGTAAAACAATAATTCTAATTGTTGTCTTTGTCAATGTTAAAGAAGCATACCACATAGTAAGCAGAGGTTGTGGGTTTGACTCCCACTCTGGGCTGATATTTTTTCTTCCAGACTATTCTGAATTATATTAAAATTATAGTTCCTATTTTTGATAAGAGATGGTGCTTAATGTCTAACTCTAATTTCTAATCATGTAATTCAGTGTTTCTCAAAGTGGGCGATAATGCCCCCTTGTGGGCGCTTCAGGCATTCAGGGGGCAGTAGAAGGCTCAGTGATTAAATATGAGTTTTATTTCTTCTCATTGAAACATTCTTTGATCTCAGAAATAGGGTATGGGTCACACCCTATCTATCCTATCCATATAATAATGCATGTTTAATCATTATATTTGCAATAACTGTTTTTAAGATATGCAATAGATGGTAATGTAAAAAGGTAAGTTAAAAATATGGGGGCACTAGATTTTTTTTAATCTCAGTGGGCAGTGGTCGAAATACAGTAAGTTTGAGAACCTGTGATGTAATTTCTAATTATTAATTGTAGCATAATATTGCTTGATTAATTTGGCTGATGGTTGGATGATTAATAATATATATAAATATCTCAATAATCTGATAAATTATGTAAGATGTTACATTGACTTCAATTTTAAGTTAGAAATTATTATTTTACTTTAGATAACATGGATAGACTTTTTATAGTTTACATCAAAAGAACAAATTACAGTTTTATTATTGTTTTTGTTAGTTACAAATATTCACATTATTAAAGTTCAAGTTACAATTCAAATAATTTTTTCATGATAATTTGTTTATTTTTATTGTAAAGTTATACCTCATACGTTAATTTTAATTTTTTTTAAACTATCGAATTATTTATCCCAAATATGTTACAGAAAAACTATAGGATATATTTTTCTAGATACAATACTACTAATTTTGAAGTTAAGTTCAGTATTTATGTTTTTCAAAAATATAACTTGTGAATCAAATATTTTTAAAATATAATATTTATTATTTGAGAACTGCAAATATAGGTTATATTAATAAAATAATTTAAATGTAATTGATTGTAATTTAACAATTTTTTCAATATATTGCTCATAAATAAAAGTGTGATTCATTTTGAAATTCCATAATTCAAGTTTTCTGTTTTTGAAATAATTGTTCTATTATCATGAAGATTGTTATTTGAAAAACATTTTTATTTTCTTAGATTATAGTAAATTTAAGTTTCCAAGAATCAGTTCGGGGTGTCAACAAACCTGTATCAATTAATGTAGTTGATACATGTCCTAAATGTCGAGGATCAAAATCTGAACCTGGTACTAAATCAATTCCTTGTCCTTACTGTAATGCAACAGGAATGGTAAGTATATTTAAAATTATTATGTTTAAATCAGTATAGAAATTTTTCATTATCATTTAGTTATAATTTTATTTTGATTATATTTTATATTAAACGATAGTGCCTCATCACAGTAGATTTTGTTAAAGTAACAAAATCTACTGTGATGAAGCACGTGTATATTTAAAATCTTGAAAATTGGACACTTGATTTTTGAATATCCATACATTATTATTAATTTAACAGCTTTTGCTATTAATATAGTTAAGCTATAAAATGATTTATATTTGAACTTTCATATTTGTAATTAGAATTTTTAAAGTTAATGTTAAAAATCGATTATATTATTTTATATATATATATAGTCATTTAATTGGAGAAGGTACTATATAATTGTCAATATATGATTTTTTAAAATGATGATTGTTAATTTTCTATTTTTAAAGAATGAAAATTTTATGTTTCTCAGGAAACACTTAGCACAGGACCATTTGTAATGAGGACGACGTGTCGTTATTGTCTTGGTACTAGAATGCATAATAAATTTCCATGTTTAGAATGTGAAGGAAAGGGTAAAACAGTTCAAAAAAGAACTGTTACAGTACCTGTTCCAGCAGGTAACTGCCATATTTTAAAAAATAACAATTTTTAATTATTTAAAATTATTTTTAAATAATTAGTTAATGTAGTAATAACAACAACAATAATAATAAGATAATTTTAATTAGTAATATCAGTTTGATAAGAAAATATTGAATTTAAAGTTATGAAGTTAATATAAAGTTATTCAATGCAGATAAGTTAAGTTTTGTATAATAATAAAACTAATAGAATCTACAATTCAAATAGATAATTTTTGGAATCTAAAGTATCAATTATAAATTTGTGTTTATTGCTGAAATTTTATAAAAGACATATTTCTAGAATTTAATGTGAACTTTTGATTTGTAAAATGTCATTTGAAAATATTTATAATTATATAGATATGTTAGAAATTGACAACTGATGAATGAAAGCCAAAGATGGATTTTGTAAGAAGTATGACAATAAAAGTTTTTTGAAATAAACTAAGTCAACAGGTGATAGGTAAAAGCAGAAAAGTAGAAGCTTTGCAATGAAAATTGAAAAAAAAAAAAAAAAAATAATTCTAGAATATGAATAGCTTTAATAAGCTCTTTAAATAAATTTGTAAAATGCATTTATATCTTGCTGTACATATCTGCTTTCATCTATTATTACTAAATCTAATGTGAGACTATGAGACTATAAACATCAGGCAATTAATTTTTTGAAAATTCAGTTTGGATGAATTCAAATCTTAATATTTATAATAATTCAAGTTTAGGCATACCTTGCTTTAAGGCACTTCATTTTAGAGCACTTAAATTGTACAACACTTCAATTGTATTTGCTTTTATTATTTTTGGCAATTACGTTGTTCTTAACAGGAATTTTTATTTATTACATTCACTTTTATGAAGTTTTTAAATAAAGCCTTCTGATAAATAAGACCTTCTGTAGCATTATTGTGTATTTAAGAAATGATAGTGTAAATATATTCTTAGGATTTTATATGCACTGTTAAGTAAAAATAGGCTGTAATTCATTTTAAGGCAATATATAATATATGGTGGAATCTAGTCTGTCATATTTGTGATGTATTTCTGTAATTGCATTATTGTAATTATAATGGCATTATTCTTCTCTTTATCTAAAATATGTTGATCTTATTAAAAGTAAAATTAATAATAATACTAAGCTAAATGATTGCCATAATTAATCAGGCTATTAATATGCTATAATTAATAATTAGAAACTAAGTAATTTGGTAATAGATGGCACCTAATGTCTACCTCTAGTACCAAATTACTTAGTTTTTAATTATTAATTATAGCAATCATTTGACTTAGAATGCAACTATTCTCATGAGTGAGCGAATTTTCCAAGCGAGAGAGAATATGTGACGAGAAGAGGTGATGATGTATCGTGCTGTCTGTTTCTCACTCTCATCTGTGTGGCTGTAATAAACAAGAGCATGAAATGTCATCACTTCTTTCCACATATTCTTGCCTGCTCAGAAAATTCACTCGCTTGTGTTTGCATAGTCGCATCTAGGGTTTCTCAAACGGGATTCCGGGATCCCGGTTGTTTTTTTAACCCGGGAAATTTTTCTTATTCCAGGAAATCCCGCAAATTTCTTAAAAATTCGCTTTTTTTCTTATTTTGTGTTAAGGTTGAGAAATTTTGCAAATAGAAAGCATAATTAACTCATTCACTGCCAGAATACATTTGTATTTATTAATTTTAAACCTACCTATTAGTTTTTTTAAATTTTTGCTCGTTATAGCATGTCACAAATGGTCAATAATCAATATATAGCTTATTTGTGGCATGACTATAAAAATTCTTTACTTGTCGGAACCTGTAATATCTGGAATAATTGTGCTTACGCTGTCTTGAGTTTTAACCATGCCCAGTAGCTTCAATAAATGCCTGACGCCAGATTGTGCAAATTGGGCAAGGATACAAACGAGTACAAAGTCTGCAAGTATGAAGTTTTTCTTCATAAACCTGATTATTAAAGCCAAATGAATTGCCGAATTATCGAGCTCTAAGCTTGATGCCGCTATTAAAGCAGCCAAGGTAGACAAATCAAGAATACTAGAGAGCGAAAGAAGTACTACAATCTCGAAAACGAACTCGAAAGCTTCCAGGCTACAGGTGAAAAAACACATAATATCTGTCTTCTCTTAAATGCATTAAACACTATTCCAATCACATCAATTGAATCGGAAAGGGCATTCTCGGTGGCAAGACTTTTCATTACTAAAATAAGAATTAGAGTGAGTTATCGGAGTATTGACCATCTTTGCTTTTTAAAATCTTATAAAAGTTTGCAATATTTTGTATTATATTTTATTTAAAAAACGAAAATTACCTTCTAAATTAGAAGTTCATTTTTTTTAATTTTTAACTCAATTCAAAAAATTTTTTTTTGTTGTTGTTGTATGCAGTTTCCAGCAAACTTTAATTAATTTTTTTCTATTTGTGAAAATTTCTACGTTATTTAAAGGTAATTTTTATTATAGGCCTATAGACCTTACACAGCATTATTAATATGATTTTGGAGGTTACAGAACTTTAAAATTACTTTAAAAAATGGAAAATAATTATATCATTTGATTTCAAGATATTTTGTATACCTTAAAAATAATTAATTCTATCCCGGGATCCCGAGAAACAGTTCACTTTTATCCCGTAATCCCGGGACAAGCAAAAGACCGGGAAATGAGAAACCCTAGTCGCATCCTTAATATCAATACATCAGGTTTTGGGAAGTTGATATTTACCAATAATAGGCAGCATTAACGGATGATATAACTCAAAATAAATGAAAGGGAGTGAAATTTTTAAACAAAATTTGCCAAAAAAATCTTTTATTTTAAAATAGTAATTATTATTATAGTTTTTGCATATCTTTTTTATTTAAAAATGTGTTAAAGGTTGTAAGTTATATCATGGGATTGGAAATAAGATTTAGATCTTAAATATTTTTAATAAAATCAAACCAGTAAAAAAATAGTTTTCTAAACATTGTTTAATTTTTATTTTGGAAAGAATTTTGTTATAATATTTCAGTTTATCTAAAATTTATTTTAACAGGAATAGAAGATGGGCAAACTATTCGTATGCAAGTAAATAAAGAAGAATTATTTATTACATTTAAGGTAAAGATTTATTCATATAATTTTATCAGTTACATTAAGAAAACTTTATAAAAAATTGTGTGAATTTGCAGGTATCAAAAAGTAATTATTTTAGACGAGAAGGAGTTGATATACACACAGATGCAACCATTAGTTTATCCCAAGCGGTTTTAGGAGGCAAGATTAGAATTCAAGGTTTATATGAAGATGTAGATATAAAAGTATGGAAGTTTGTAATTTTATGGAATATTAAATTAATTTTATATTTTTTAAATTAGAAATACTTCTGTTAAAACTATTTATATTTTTTTAATAGTTTCATTTCTTTATAAATTGGAAATTTCAATTTCTTTTGTTAAATATAAAGCAAATACAATTATTTCTGAAATACTTCTGAAGCAAGGATATATAATTTTCAATTCAATTTGATTATGTTTGATAGTGAAATTGCCTGACATAATCAAATGACAAAATTCTAGAATAGATATTGTATTTTAAAGTTAAAGGAATAATTAAGATTTTTAAAATATGTATGATAGAAGGCTGGATGGCTGAGTGGTTAAGCTGTCACCCTATCACTTTGGAGACTCAGGAATTTTCTGGGGTTAGTTCATCTTGGATATGTTGGTCCCTGTCTCTTATCACCTGGTCAAACCCATGATGGACTTGATAAAACTCTTAGTGTCCACAGGGTGGAAAGAATAAAATATATATGTTTCAAAATCAAATTTTATTTTAATGTGCTTAATGGTAATATTTTCAGTTAATACCAGTGCATTATAATATTATTAGATATGAAATGTAAAATATATTGAAATTAGATATGAAATTACAAATGTAAAAACAAAAAACTTGCACCATTGTAATTAGGGCAACATAATAAATACAGAACAATAAGACTATAAATAATAGTAAAAAAATAAAATAAAATAAATATGGCTAGTACTTACAAGTACATATGTCTTATACAATAGATTACATCTTTTGTCAAAATTGTCCTAAGTTAAATAGATAGAATCGATCATTTTTAAATAATTTTATTTTTGTAAAGTTTAAATGAAATATTCATGTTTGTTAATATTTTCTCTATAAGATACATAATTATATAGTGGGTGATCGATTAACGAACATAATTTGTTCCAAGACATTGTTTGTTAACTGATTATCGATTTACCATAGGTTTTTATGGGAATTTGATTAATTCATTCTGGAAACTCCAAAAAATAAAAAACTAAAAACTTTCTTAATACATTTATTTATATGTAATAATAAAAATACATACATACATACACAGTTTTGTCTTTCATAATGTAGGTACAGTTCGGCATGTGCTTCCAAAATAAACTAGTTTCATCACAATTGAAAATTTGTTGTGGACAATATCCTTTTTTAATGAATTCTTCAAATTTGAGACAGAACTTCTCAGCTTCTTCTTTATCTGCACTAGCAGACTTGCAATGAATCACCACATGTTTAATGCCAGATCTCCTTCTAAACTTTGGAAACTATCCAGTGATAGCCTTGAATCTTATCTCCTCATGTGACGAATGTTGAGTTTGTTCCTTCAGTTCTTCAAAAATTTCTCTAGTTTTCTCTTGAATGATAGTCATACTAGTTACATCTTTTTTTCATTTCTCATTCTTTTATTCAAATTAAAAGTAGCTCTCCATTTTTTCATGGATGGAACATTTTTTTTTTCTCAGATGTGATTTTCGTTACTCCTTTAGCTCATTGAGTCTTCTTGATTATATCTTTCTTAGCTAAGATTGTGCCTACTGTAGACCTGTTCAAGCCATACTGCCTAGCAACATCAGACATCTTCTCTTCTGCTCACTCTCTACTTTGGCTATTATCTCTTGCTAAGTTTCTATAGTGAACACAGTTCTTGACATTCCACTCTTTTTAGATCCCATAATATTATCAGTTTTTTAAAATAAGTTCAGAAAAGCACTCACAAAAATTCAGAGTACAGAATTAACTAGTGCATGAAAGAATTATGTAAATGTGAGGCCCAAATGTAATTTGAAATTTTGGTGTTAAAACGTTAATGAATAGCCAATAGGACAGTTAAACACTAACCTTTAGAAAATAAAAACTGATGCAAAACTTATGGAGTGCTCAACAGTCTCGTGAAGACTATAAAAAAATTACAGCTGTCCCTTGATAATTCAACAAGTATGGGATCAAAGGGGTGTTGGATTACCAAAAGTGTTCGGATTACCGAAAGTGATTACATATTTGGCATTGTTTTGCTAGCAGTAGCCTACAATATTCCCTACTCCAACTGTTCGAACAGAACTGCTCATAGAAAACACGAAATGTGTGTCATCGTGTAAGAATTGGGTGGGGAGGTTCATGTTGTGACATGCTTCTGTGCAATCAGACACATAACGGGGACGGGTACCTTGACAGGAGGTGCATCAGACCTCTGAGCATGATGGATTACAAAATGTCGGACTCTCAAGGGACAGCTGTATTTGTCAGAAAAGTAAACAAAAAGCTGGAGTTACAATGGAGAGTTTCAAAGTTTGGGGAAACACTATCCAATCGGTATTGGCTTGAGCGTCAATGTTGACGTCTCCTGCACTTTGAAAAGTTTTCGAATTGTTATCCGAAGACAAAAGAAAACTAGTCAGTATTCATTATTTTATGTTGCTTCTTCTTGTGTTTGTTCTGTGATGTGTTCGTTATCTGATCATGTGTTCGTTGTCCAAACATAAAATTCTTTCATGAAAGTGTTCTTTAACTGAACTGTTTGTTAACCAATCACCCACTGTATTTTATATGGATTATAAGATAAATCTATAGTTTAATCATTTATTTAATTTCCATAAATATCTTCACAAATTTTGAAATTAGTATCAAAATTATATTTTCAGATAAATCCTGGTACATCTTCACATTCATGTATTCGATTACCAGGAAAAGGGGTAAAACGAGTAAATAGTTTTGGCAATGGTGATCATTTTGTTCATGTGAAAATTAAAATTCCTCTGTAAGTTTATTTTTTCCTATTTAACTAGCTCTATTTAAAAAATGTACTCCTAGAACCTATCACCAGTGTGTCATAAAAAAAAGCAAAAGAAAAAAGTTCATCACAAACGTTTTCGAACTGCTGTGAGTTCTTCAGGTGTAAACGGAATTTCTAATGGATCAGAGTGAATGGTTTAGGAAATTCGAGAAACATTCGAAGGTGTTTTATACGTGTGAGGCGCATGCATATTTATATGGTTGACATAGCATGACACTTACAGCCGATTGCAGAGACAGAGTTTACGTTAAACAACGTTTATCAACAGAACGGCCTATAGACGTTGGCTGGCTGAACTGTGGTTTAAAATGCGTTGCAAAGACAACGATCGTCTATTTCTGATTGTTCTCTAAACGAACTTCGGCAAAACATTGGCTCTTACTTACTTTGCTATTACTCCCCTGTTTTAAGAGTCGTTTGGCCAATTGGGTTATTTGTTTGTGATGTCAGAAATGGTTACCAGCTATATTCCGAAAGCTTCCAGAAATAAAATCTTAAGGCCATCAAAATCATTGTTTGGCAATTAATGACAATCCTTTTCCATTTCGATATTTAATTTCATTGCCAATACGGTTTAAAATATGAAAAAATCCATATTTAGAAAATTTATACCAAATTCAAAATTTGTCTTTGGAATAGATTTTTAAGGAATTATTTCAACATCTTATTACTGTCGAAGTGAATAATTTTAAATATTTTATTGTTAATATTACATTTTTTTTATATCTATAAACAGATTTCTGTAATTATTAAAATTGTCTCTTTTGTTTAACAGTACAATGACTCCAAAATGAATTAACGTTTTATAACCAACACGATACTCGAATTGTAAATAAATGCATCTGATTTAAATTAATTGAAGTTTTAAGTCCGCACTCATTTGAATATCGAAATTGGAACATTTAAAACAAATTTAAAGTATTTAATTTTGTTGTTTTTGCTCCAAGCAATTAATTAATGAATAATTTTGTCGATTCATACCGTTTAAAACATTTACGATAGAAACGATATCTGTTTTTATCTAAACTTTTCCACAAACAAAGCTACCACTTGAATTGAAAAGACCTCTAAACCTGCTGTCGAGTGAGTGTAGAAAATAGGTCAAATAACTTGTTTCTAATCACTGTCTACATTGTGGCAGGCAAGAAACGCTGTCTCTGCAATGAAATTTTTCTGAACAGCTGTCTACCCGATCTGTAAACTGCCGTCGGTCTCTAAACGTTGTCTCTGTAATCAGCTGTTAAAGTTCGGAGTCCATTAACTCCTGCCAGGCCAGCGACAGAACCAACTCATCTTTAAAATTGATGCATTTGTCATCGAATGTTTCTCGAATTTCCTAAATTGTTTGCTCTGATCCATCAGAAATTCCATTTTACACCTGAAGAAGAACTCTCAGCAGTTCAAAAACGTTTGTGGTGAACTTTTTTCTTTAGTTTTTTTTTTTACGACATACTAGTTATAGGTTCTAGGAATACATTTTTTAACACATCTCAGTGGTTAGTGGTGTAGTTTAGCTCTATTTCTTAGTAATTGTGTGCTTTTTTTATTTTTAAGGAAATTATCTGATAAACAAAAAGCTTTAATGACTGCTTTTGCTGAATTAGAAGATGATACTCCAGGTACAGTAGAAGGTATTCAGACAAAAAAAGAAGGTAACTTTAATTAAAATTTTTAAATTTGTATAAATTATAATTTTAATCTATCAACTATATTTTAACCAATGTTATGGCATATCTGTTTTTACAAATACTGATTTAAATGTTTTGAATCGAAAATTTCAATGAAATTAACAGATGGTTTATTAATTATATAAAATTTAATTATATTAGGAATTGAATATAACATTTATCAGGTAAATTAGAAAATGGATTTCAAATTTTCAGTTCAGTTTGTCAAAAATATTTTATAAATAAAAATATTTCTGCTGATAAAAAATTAGAACTGTTGTCATTAAATAGAAACTTTTTGAGAATTGGAAAAAATATTTTATGTGATAAAAAGTGCATATCTTTTTTAAATTCATGTTCAAATTATTTACCATAAAAAAAAGTCAACAGAAAAACTCAAAATTTAATTTCTTAATTTTAGTATTAAAGAAAAATTAGTATTAAGAAATTAAAATTCTTTTATTGTTTAACAATAAGTAAATGCAAAACTAAAACGTTGTTTAGATTAGTTATTGACTTGTTTTAAATAAATAAATTTTATATTTTATTCAAAATATTGGATCTTCACTTTGTGATTGATTCAGTATGAAAATATAGAAAATTTAGCAATATAGAAAAATATATGAAAATTAATATATAAATAAGTATTTCCATAATAAAAGAAAATTTGTTGTATAATAAGCATTCACTTTATGATGGATTTACAACTGTCAACAACTGGACTATATGGTTTAAACATGCATGATAAATAAAGCAATTGTCATGTGATTGCAAACATTTTAGATATATAGATATCCCTCATATAACATGGTAGTTACATTCCAAAAAAGTGCTATGTTACGCAAATCTGTGCTATATGAAACAAAGGACTAATGCAAAATGTAGGGTTAGGTTCCAGAAGTTAGCAAAAGTATACTATTCTTTTTGTTACTAAGAGAAATATGTTTAATAAAGTAATCAATACTTTATTTTCTATCAATAATTAACTAACTGGCACAATTAAAAGTACTGTTAATATTATTTAGTTAAAGAGGGTCTTTTTTTCAACTTATTGTTGTCTTCTGAGTTTTTTTTCTTGATCTTGATCAGAAATATCAGCAACATCATCATTTTTTTAAAATTGTTATCATAATTTTCTATGGATGACAAAATAAAAATATGTTATTAATTGATAATTTGTTCTAGCAGGTCACATTCAGTTGAGTACTGAGCAAATTTTTTTAGAATTTGGGCTTGAATACCAAATTGTTCCAGTTGGGAACCGTTTGAATACTGAGATGCCACAGTATTTTGTTCATCATTTTTACAAATGATTACTTACATATGGTTCAAAAAGTTTAATAACACTTATCTAAAAATTTTAAATTAATCTTCGTATTTAGTAAAGTTTATCTATAAAAAGAAAAAACAGTGTGAGATCCAGGGGTTGAGGCAGTGTACCCCACTCCCTAGACACCAAATGTGAGAATGCCATGGTTAATCTCTACTCTACTGACATCACATGCAGGATGGTTTAAAAATATATGGGATAAACACCCACAAAATATAGGCTTAGTCTTATTAGTAGCTACTATATCCCACTTAACAGGAAACACACTCATTAATTCCACAGTCATTTTATATTATTAATTATTACTTCTTTAATAACCCTGTTATTATCCTCATGAAAAATAATTATTTCCCTCTTTTTCATTCTACTATTTTTCTTCTCCCAAGTCTATTTTCCAATCAATATGAAAATCTCTTACAATTTACTTTCACAAGATTTAATATCCACAACACTAATCATTCTAAGAATTTTCATTACAATTTTAATACTTCTCTCTTCAACAAAAATTATCAAAAAAGAAAGATGTGTATTTTCTTCACTTACATTCATTTTATTAATTTTTCTCATATTAAGTTTTTCTAGCTCTAATTTAATAATAATTTACATTTTCTTCAAAGCCACAATCATTCCTACATTAATAATAATTACATTATGAGGAATCCAACCTGAATGGCTTTCTACCAACCTTTACTTAATTTTTATACATTAGGAGCTTTCCTTTAAGACAATGGTGCCCAAGTTTTTTGATTGGTTAGTCAAATTGTGCACAAGTTGTAGGTAGATGGGCTACAAATATTTTATATACCATACATACAAAGAGGAGATCTATTCTATCATAAGTGATGTGTCAAACACGTTTGCTGGCTGGATTAATGTGCACTGCTAGCAGAATTTGGTCCAGGACCATTGGCACCACTGTTTTAAGGTGTGAAACATTGAAAAGTAAGAGCTTATATGCCAATAACATCTTTCTCTCAAAATTTTAATATAAATATTATTTATAAAAGTTGAATATTTATTCAAATAAATCTGCATTAATGTTTTTATTGAAAGTCCAATATTTATCTTCACATATGGCAACACTATGGGTATTTTGAGGATTTGGTGATACTGTGGGTGAAAATTTGACTGATTTGGGGCTTCTTAATCTTGTTGAAAGCATTAGTAATGTATATCCATGTTTCTGATCTTGTTCTGAGCCATCTAAAAGGAGATGCAATACTCCAAAAGAATTTGCAAGATGACATAATTTATTTACCCAAATACAGTGGGTGATCGGTTAATGAACAAATCAGATAACGAACACTTTTGTGAAAGATTTTATTTCTTCGGACAATGAACATATGTTCAGATAACGAACATTTCACAGAACAAACATAAAAAGAAGCAACAGAAAATAACGAATACCGATTGATTTTCTCTTGTCTTCAGATAACAATTCAAAACCTTTTGGAGTGCGAGAGACGTCAACATCGGTACTCAATCCAATACCAATTGAATGGTATTTTTCCAAACTTTGAAACTCTCCATTGTAATTCCAACTTTTTGTTTACTTTTCTGACAAATAATTTTTTATAATCTTTGCGAGACGGTGGGGCGCACATTAAGTTTTGCATAGGTTTTTATTTTCTGAAGGTGAGAGTTTAATTCTCCTATCGGATATTCATTAATGTTTTAACACCAAAATTTCGAATTTCGTTCAGGCCTCATATTTACATAATTATTTCATGTGCTAGTTGATTTCTGTTCTCTGAATTTTTGTGAGTGCTTTTCTGAACTTTTTATTTCAAAAACAATTGATAATATTATGGAGCCTAGAAAGAACCATGCTCACATAGAAACCAAGCAAGGGATAATAGCTAAGGTAGAGAGTGGACAGAAGATGTCTGTGAGTGCTAGGCAGTATGACTTTAACAGGTCTACAGCAAAAGGAGTAATGAAAATCACATCTGAGAAAAAAAGATGTGCCATCCATGAAAAAATGGAGAGATTGCTTTTAATTTGGATAAAAGAAAGGGAAATGAAAAAAGATGTAACTAGTATGACTATCATTCAAAAGAAAGCTAGAGAAATTTTTGAAGAACTGAAGGAACAAACTCAACATTCGTCACATGAGGAGATAGGATTCAAGGCTATCATTGGATAGTTTGCAAAGTTTAGAAGGAGATCTGGCATTAAATATGTGGTAATTCATGGCAAGTCTGCTAGTGCAGATAAAGAAGTAGCTGAGAAGTTCTGTCTCAAATTTGAAGAATTCATTAAAAAAAAATATTGTCCACAACAAATTTTCAATTGTGATGAAACTAGTTTATTATGGAAGCACATGCCGAACTGTACCTACATTACGAAAGACAAGAAAAATATCCCTGGGCATAAACCATGAAAGACCAATTGACGTTACTTTTGGGAGCTAATGCTAGCGGTGATATGAAGCTTATCCTGCTTCTTGTCTATGAGAACCCTAGAGCATTCAAAAAAAATTCCATAATTAAAGAAAGACTGCCAGTGATGTGGAGATTGAATAAAAGGGTATGGGTCACACAGGCTCTTTTCAAAGAGTGGCTGTTTGGAGTTCATGCTCCAAGCATCAAGGATTACCTTCAGACCAATGAATTGCCATTGAAAGCACTGTTGCTATTAGGCAATGCACCAGGACACCCAAAAGACCTTCAAGATAATTTGCTGGAAGGCTTTCCCTGGCTGACAGTTCAGTTTTTGCCTCATAGAAAAGTAATCTTTTCTATGAGGCAAAAACTAATTTTCATAGAAAAAATACAAGTGTGTTTCCAGTTTTCTTGTTATATTTTTGTTACTTGTTTCTTTTCTAAATTATATAAGTATTCCAGTTTCCAAATTGGACTTGCTTAGTAGACTTAGTTGTTAATCAGAGAATTAAATATTTCATATCAGTTCTAATATTTATTTTCACATACACATACAAATTAATTAGGTTAGTCAACATTAATAGTTTTCTTTATCATTTTTTCTTTTAAGTTGTTCCAAATAAATGTAACTTCTAAGTATGTAATTTCATCCACTATAGATATTAGATTATTTCCAATGTATAAATTCTTCTTCTTTTTTTTAAATTTTATAATTATTATAGTAAATTATCAATTCAGTTTTTTCAGGATTAATTTTTAAGTATAATGTCTCAAGATAGTGTTTATTTGTTTATGTTGCACTGGAGTGTTATCTTTGTTGGTGTCAACAGGACCAAATTATTGGCATAAAGAATCATATATATAGTTTTATAACTGAAATACTTTCAGGATTTGTCAAAAATATGTTCTTTACCTAGTACATAAAAGTTGAACAAGTTGTTATTAGATCTTACGGAATAATTCCTCCTGTTAAAAATAATTTAGGATTAGATACAATTCTGATATGGTAATTTATAGATACAGTAGAGCATCGATTATCCAAAACAATTCAGGACTGGGTTGTTCGGATAACTGATCATTTACAAAAAATATATTAAACACAAAACTGTACTGTATATAATTTGTATCACATGTCTTACAAATACATATCTTACATAATGTAATACATTAAACTAAGCTTACAGTTCAGTTTGGCAGGGAGGGGAAGAGTGCTGCAATGCCACAGCCCTAGCGGAAATTTGAATTTGCCAACTGGAATGCTTTCAGTTGATCAGTATTCGGATAATCAATGCTTTACTGTAGTGATTTAATCGATTGTGAAAAAATTCCTCCAGCTATTATCTTTTCCAGCTCTGATTTACTAGATTTGGTACCTAAAAATCAAATTATTTTTCAGACTTATAAAAACAATATATAACTTTTGTTAATTTCATTAATTTTTCAATTCAAATTGTACTATTGTATGTAATAAGAAAATTACTTATTCTATACTTTTGTTTTTGACAAAAGTAACAATTTAAATTATTTTCTACCTTTGTCTACCTTTGAAGTCTAACTTTGAAACTGTCAGAATAGAGGTAAAACATTTTGTCATTATTGGTGGTAATGATGATGGATGATAGTTTTATGGTGCTTTTAAATCTCTTTTCTTATACTTTGCATATAGCTTCATCATATTCCAATGTCCTGGAAACATGAAGAGAAATAAAAAGAGTTGAGTAATTTGATTAACTGTTCTCTAAGCAAGTTTCAAAATTTTTGAAGAAATTAATTCTTCAGGAGAAGCTGAATAGTTGTTTGAGATGACTTTATTTATTTCATTCATTGTGAACACCTATTCTAAATAAATCAAAAAGCTAATAATGAAGTGTATTCTTATATAAATTTTTTAAAAAATGCCATTTTTGTTAAAGGCAGTTTTCCACTTTTTTCTTATAATTCAGTATTTATAATTAGTAAAAAAAAATATTACAAGTATAATTTAAATATTTCTAGCATTAAATAATAATTTGTGGGCATTCATGATTTTATATTTTATGAATTATTTTTTAATTTTTTATTAGGTTTTATAAAATACATTTAAGAAACCACTGATTATCCCATTTTGGCTTCAATACAGAATTATATTATATACACACAATGAATTTTGAAACATACATTTTAATATCAACTAGAACAGTGCTACTCAAACTGTGGTTAATGAGCCAACAGTAGCCCACGATGATATATCACTTAAAATTTCATAATTTTATATATTACATTTAATAAAACTATTTAAAATCATCTTCAAAAGTCTCTTAAAAACATGTCATTTTATTACTTACTTTTTTTATTATTATTATTTAAACACTTAGCACCAGGGATAGGATGCAAATTCAAAACTGGCTAAGGAAATTATTTGAAAATGGCTCTCACTTTTTTTTTTTTTCTAAATGATTAAAATCAAATTTGTTGTATTTTTGTTACTAATTCAGTCTAAAATCTAAAATAAAAAAAAAAAAATGCATTTGACCTCCATTCTCTCTGTTTTATAACAATTTTTTATTTAATTTCACAAAATTACAGGTCTGCAAGGAATTGGAATAAAAGAGAACTGGTTTGTGAACACACACAGTTTTGAGAAGCACTGAACTAGAGTATGCTTAATGTGTTTTCTGATATTATGAGAAAAAATAAAATTTTACCCTTATTCTTCTTACATAAATGTAAAATACATGAAAAAATTATATTTTTCTTTCACTTCTGACTTTTTGGATATTATATAACTTCAAATAATGACTAAAAAATTAAATACAACCAACAGACTGCCGAAAATCTATCGGGCTAGTTTTATGCTAATTATTAAATAAATTACGTAATCAATTTGGTAGCTATATTATATATCGGGTTGGAGATGTTTGTATATAAAAAATTAAAGTTAAAGATATACAGTTCTTCAGATGTCATCTCCAAGAAGAAACCACTTTAACTATATAAGTAGCTCTTTAATGAGTTGATTGTCAGAAAGTGAACTGTGTACTGTTAGCCCCACTGAAGAGGCCTTTCATAGGCAAAATGCATTTGGGGAGCTTGTTAGTAATGTAAATAAAAGTTTTTTTCTCTGTGAACTGATTTCTTTTTATACCTTTTTAACTTTAATTTTTTAGTCATTATTGGTTTAATGTTTTAAGATTTGAAGTTATATAATATCCAAACAGTCAGAAGTGAAAGAAAAATATAATTTTTTCATATATTTTACATTTATGTAAGAAGAATAAGGAAAAAATTCTGACTCCATTATAGTTTTTAATTATGCATAAACAAATTCAAATAATTGTAATTTAACATACAGTATATTCATTAAGAACACCTAAAATAAAGATCACTGCTTAACATCTTAAAAACAAAACAACTATTTCATATATTATTTGTAAACATAAGCCAATGTTTTAAGTCTATAATAATGTAAGATCTAAATATTTATATTTGTGATAGTATATGTAGTATGTAAGAGATTATATAGGATATAAAGTGAAAATATTTATTATTATTATTTTATTCCTTTATGGAAATTATTGCTTAGAAGATTTATTTTTAATGCTGCTTATTCTTATGAATTCCTCACTCTTGTTACATCCATTTCCAAGAAAAATTATTTTTGTCTTTTAATAATACAGTAGAACCCCTCCAATCCGTCACCTTTGGGACTTTGGGGGTATGGTTGGAAGGCAAAAAAGGTCGGATTATCAGGAAAATGTAAAATAAACAATCTTTCCCTTTGTCCAGTCTTTGTAGCACTGCTAATTTTTCATTTAATGAAAGAGTAACGTGTTTACGTTTCATTCCTGACATGTTGAAAACACACACAAAACTGTACACGTACACACAATGTAAAACATATACTGTAACAAACACAGAAGAATGTGATGGGCGGTGAGACACCGACGAGTCGGGACAAGTTTCTCAACTATGACCACGGTCGGATTAACTGGAGTGACGGACTAGCCAAGGGCGGTCTAGAGGGGTTCTACTGTATAATAATTTCCACTATACACATTTTAAAATTTCTGATATTCTATTGTTCTTTAGTTTTTTACTTTTTCTTTTAAGTTTTCTAATACTTCTGCTTCACTCAAAACAATTATACCTTTGTTTAACACCTATTCTGTCAATTTTATTCTTTTCTTTTCCTTAATATAAAGCTAAAATCAGCATTATTTATCAGATATAATCATGTATTTTGGAAACCACTAAAAAGGGGTTTATAGGCAAATAAACAAACTTATTCTGTCCTTCCAATCCAACATTCACCAGAGGTCAAGAATCTCTTAATAAAGGGTAATAAGAGTGGTAATAAAATATCTTGTCTGCTTAGTTCTTGTCAGTCAGAAGAAATGTGGCTGTTTACATTGGGTTTTGAAAAATACGTTTTTTAGTTTTCTAAATTTATGAAGTATTTCTAGATTAATCGAGTTTTGATTTCTCTTACATCAATCACAATAACTTATTCTGTGAATTAATAAAATTGTCTTCTGAATGATTCTCAACCTCTGGTGAATGTCAGATTGGAAAAACAGAACAAATTTGTTTGTCTATAAACCCCTTTTTATTGGTTTCCAAAATAACTTTCCTTTTCTTCCCTAATACCTTTTTGTACTGTCTGTCTGCAGGAAATTTCAATATAATTATTGTCTCTTATGTTTTTTTGCAATTTGGAATCCAGTATTCTCTCTATCTCAGCATCTTTATTTTTTATTTTAAAAACTTTTCAAAAATTGCTAAATAGGATTTTCAAAGAAAAGAATTGAAATTTTATTCCAAGCTGCTTGAAAATAATAGTATGTATATTTTTTCCTAGTCTTACAATCTGTTTTGTTCTAGCTTAAATCAGAAAAATTCTTGAGAGATTTTTGCCAATTTTGAAATGACTTCTGATTCTTCATCTAAAGTTTTCCCAGTTTAAGGAAAAATTTTGTGTTTTGTGATTTGGTGATATGAAAGCCACATGTTTAAAAATTCTGGATTTTTGAATTTTTATTGCAGTAGATGATGAGTATTAATCTGTAATAAAATATCAGACTTGTCTGATTAAGTTTATTACATACTACATTTATGATCATACAAGGAGTAAATAGGATGTTAAGTTTTGTAAAAAAAGAATTTTTATAGTACAATACTATATTTTTTGTAATTTATAGATTCAAGAAGAAACAGACATGTTGAAACTGTAGTGTTTCGAAAGGATATTTTTATAATTTCAAAATTATGTTTAAGTATGAGCATAAAGTAATAAAACAACTGCTTCATCAAACAATTACAAAGAGGCAATGTTTGAGCAGTTAGAAACTTTTAATAAGATTGAACATATTCATTTGTATAAAAGATCATCTTCAGGTTCCATACTTCAAACAAATGTAACAGAAATTCTAGAATATATGCACATACTTGAAGATGGCCATTTACATGACTGAAAAATGTTCATATTTATTAAAGATTTTAAAATTAAAAAAATATGGGAAATAATTTACATAAAATATACAATTAATCACATTTTTAAAAAATAGAATAATTAGAAACTTCAAAATTTTTGGCATGTTTTTCTTGAAAGTTAGATTAATTTTACACTGGTGTTTTCCTGATTTTTTAGTAATATTTTAATTCACTGTACTAATTCTATACTGTTAAAAATAATAATAATCTGAAATCTCAAGTTTATAACTCTTGTCAAAACTATTATCTGCTGCTGTTCTTTTGAATTTAACATTATTATAAAGTTGAATAATTTGAATTGAAAAAATTAAATTCAATTCAAAATTAGTTCTATTGATATCAACCTTTACTATTTAAATTATATTTGTTTCTTATATTCTTTAGTTGCATTGCAAAGTCATTAAGTTTTCGTCCTCTTTCATTTGTTCATTGAAAAATTGATATATTTTAAACTTTAAATTACAATTATTATGCATTTAATCTAATTATAAAATATTTATTTTTAAATAATTTGATATTTAGTTTCACACTTAACCCATGTTTTATAGATGATGAAAAGATCTATGCTGGAAAAGAAAAAAGCCATGAATGGGATAAAAACAGTGGTTTATTATCAAAAATTAAAAAAGCTATATTTGGTTGAAGGTATGAAATTATTTTTAGATTTATATCAATGTATTTATGATTGTTTTTTCTTTTGGAATGTAGAGGTTTTCATAATATTTTACATCACTATTTTACATAATATTATATATGAAATTAAATACTAAAATCAACGTACCAGGAACCTGTTTCCGGTGTGCTTCTCTGTAAAACAAAGTGTTACAAATGTTTTCGAACTTGTAAGTTCTTCTTCAGGTAACCGACATCTAAGCGAATTCCATTCAAATTTAATTCAACAAAAAAGAACACCATTAAGAACTGTATCACACGTATCGATGGCGTCATTGACGCATGCGCCCCTTTGCTAATTGTAAATTATCGTAAGTTCTTGTCTACAAGCACCTGCCATGCCGTTGACAGGGTAATTTCGTCTTTGCTGTTAATACAATTATCGTCTTTTAGTGTAGCCATACATATGTACAGGGCCTCTAGCCCTGTACATATGTATGGCTACACTAAAAGACTATCTTCAATGCCTTAATTAAGAGGGCTTACTCACACTCGTCTGATCGGATATCCCTACATGCCGAACTAAGGCGTATTGAACAAATAGCCAATGAACATAGTTATCCCAAGATCGTACGTAAATTGATCCGCAAATGGCGCGGACGAGAAGTAGCCCTTAACCAAGCACCCAATGAAGTTCCATCTAGTATCATCCCGGTTACATACAATCCGTACCTGAAATCGCTTTACAACACAATAGCGAAGAAAAAGAATGTTTTTTCGAAAAGAATGTTTTTCGAAATATGGAAGAAAAAGAATGTTCTCATCGCGTATAGAAGATGCGTGTATAGAAGATGCACGACAATTTTTGATATTTTACGGAACGGGAAAGATACCCCCAACAAAGAACGACTCCCAGGGATATATACCATCCCAATTATAGACCATAGATGGAACAGAAGCCTGATCTACGTAGGATCCACTAAGCGCTCATTAGAGGTGAGAATAAAAGAACACTTGGTGGATATTCTGCATGCAAGGCAAACCACCGCTCTAGCCGTCTATGCCTCGGATACGGAAATAGAGCCTTTATTCAGCCAGGCCAAGGTAATCCGCACCACAAAATACGCACACCACCTTAGATGGCTAGAGGCCCTGTACATATGTATGGCTACACTAAAAGACGATAATTGTATTAACAGCAAAGACGAAATCACCCTGTCAACGGCATGGCAGGTGCTTGTAGACAAGAACTTACGATAATTTACAACTAGCAAAGGGGCGCATGCGTCAATGACGCCATCGATACGTGCGATACAGTTCTTAATGATTTTTTCTTTTAACAATAATATATAAAAATAAAATTCTTTCAGATATTTGGTAATGGAATTAATGGATGCTAACTTGTGCCAAGTTATTCAAATGGATCTTGATCATGAACGTATGTCTTATCTTCTTTATCAAATGCTTTGTGGCATCAAGCATCTGCATTCTGCCGGAATAATTCATAGAGTAAGTTATGGTTTTAGTTTAGCAAATTCTTTATTAATCATAATTGCAATAAAGTTTTAAATGAACTGAAAAAATTTGTATTTGAATATTCTCATAACATTTTTACTTTGTGTTATTTAAAATAAATAAATTTGATTGCTTTTATGAGAATTTGAAATAACGTCAAATATTTAGAACAAAGAAAAAAATGTAAAAAACTTTAATATTAAAATGCTAAAAGATTTCTTAATTAAAATAAAGCTCCAAAATTGAATTTTTTAAATAATTTATACATTTGTCATGGAAATATCTTGAATATGTTTAGTTATTTTTTTCCATAATCATTAAAAAAATTATTATTGTAAAACTTTTGAGATAAGAATTATGTAATTTTTAACCTGCTTTCCTGGAAGCTGCATAAATCATACACAATAAATATGTTGGAATTAAAATGTATTATAATAGAGCAGTGTTTGTCATCCTCTAACAAATTGTCACCCCCTTCAACGTAGTATCGTCCCCTTCAATAAAACCGTTACATAGTATCACCCCCTTCACTACAAAATTCCGATGCCAAGGGACAAGTCTAACGCCTAATTCGTACTGCATTGAATAGACTAGTAACTAGTATAATGTTATTTGTTTAATTATTGTACAATATAATGAATAAAATATCTAATAATTCTTAATATAATGTTTTACTATATCACCTGGAAAATTGTTTTTCGCCCCCAAAATATAAATTGTTACTAATCGCCCCCTCAACATGGAAAAACGCCCACATGGGGATGATATCGCACCCGTTGAGAAACACTGCAGTAGAGCGTTGTTTAACTGAATCAATTGGGGACTGAGGTTGTTCAGATAACTTATTTTTTGGATAACCAATTATGTACGAAAAAATATATTAACCTATCCCACGTTGAAATTTTTCTCCGTTGCATATCGCTTCGCGTTGAATTCTCGTCGACGTTAAGCCTAATGTAAACTTTTTAAAATAATAATCGTGGCTATTGTATCGTTAAAAATTATTTCTTTATTTTTTACGAACAAAATAAATATATTGAAAAATATAAAAACAAAAAAAAATTATACTTTAGAAGTT